TATTAATTTATTTAAATAAACATATTTATTATATATATTTGTGAATTTTTAGAAATATCAGATTTATAATTATATATCATGTTTAATTTAAAAAAAAATTATAATTTTATATTTTATATAAATTTCATATAAAAATTTTAAATAATTAATTTTTATGTTAAAATATTTTAAAATAATAAAATTTTTAAATATCAATTGTCATTTTGTAAAAATTTCCTTGATTTTTAGCTACAATTCTGATTTCTATATAAAATTTATAAAGAAAAATTTTTTTTATAAAATAAATGTATATTTTGAATAAATTTACATCAAGTATAAAGTTAATTGATTTAAAATTTTAAATACAAACTTTTTTAATATTATGAATAAGTTTATTTAATCCATATTATACATTAGAATCAAAAAATTTGAAACTTAATTATAACTAAAAATTTGCATTAAAACTACTAAAATATTAGATAAGTTTCAAAATATTTAACTAAATATAAATTAGATCTAATAAGAATATATTGGGATAAATGTGATTCATTATGATGCATAACTTTACTTAAAGCATTAGAGTTGAATTAATTAATAAGAAAAAAATTTTTATTAGAGGCAATATTTACTGATCAGTTACATAACTTTTAAAATGTCAGATACTTTTGATCACTCACTGTAGATAATAATATAATATAAGTAGTAAATAATACTCTTATAAGAGTTTTATCTACTTTTTAAGTAAATTTAATTACGTTATAAATTATAACTCAATTATATTATTTTTAATTATAATACTTATTTTTAATAATATCTTGTATATAATAAAAATCAACATAGATATAATAAAATAGTTATAGAATTATCTTATAATCAAAAAATTATTCTTGAAATCTTAAAGATGATAAGTAATGACAATCTTAATGAATATTTTTTAATAAGTTCTTAAATATACGAAACTATCTTTACAGATAAAATTTAGATTGTTATAAAAATGAATATGTTAAACAACTTTAGTAATCATCTAATTCTCAAATAAAAGTGAATATTAGGATTGTATACTTTTACTATGATATTTTATTTAATAGAATTGATTTAATTGTAAGCTGATGAAGTGCAAGTAAAATTAAATAATTATTTATAAGTAAGATTAAGAAATTTAGATAAAATTAATATTATATTTATATTAATTATTATAATATATTAATTAAAAATAATTCTTATAATTACTTTCAAACTTCAATTGAGTTGCAACTTAATTGTATTATAAACAAATTTAATTATATCACAAGTTACAACTCAATTGTGCTCTTTTTTTTAATTACAGTATTTATTTTAATACTAACTGCACTAATTGTAATAATTATACTAATTTTTATATTAATCTCAATCCTATTTATAAGTAATCTACTACACAATGCTAAATATTTAATAATAATTAATTTAATAAACTTATTAAATAATTAAATTAAAATAAAATAAATATTTTAAAAATTAAATAATATTTGAAATTTATTAATATAAAAAACTAAAACCAATTTCTAATAAAATATTATAAAAATAGCATTGAACTCAAAAAATAATAAGCAATAATATAATAATTGAATTTTATTTTTATAAAATATCATTTATATATCTAATAATTAATTATAATAATGTAATATATTATAAAAATAATAAATAAATATTAAATTTCTCGAAATTAATTAGTTTTTTTTATATAAATTTAATAAAGTAATATTATTATCTTATATTTTAAAATCTTTAATTTTAATCAAAAATTCTCAGAATCCGAATTTTTCTAACAATATTTCCATGATATTTATTAATATTTATAATAATTTTTGTATTCAACCTATACTTTCTGTAGGTTTTATAAAAAAAATTATTTATATTGATTTAATAATTAACAGCAGCTTTGATTATCCAACAAATTTATTTTCTTTTGATTGCACATATATATGTATATATATATACTTATTACAAGAGAAATGCAAAAATGAATCTAATTAACAGATAATAAAAAATGTCCATCACAAAGAATTAAGTGCTTGTTGAAATAAAATTAATTAGAAATAATCAGGAAGTGAAATTAAATGCGCATATATCTCTAAAGTCTATGAAAACATATATATATAAACCTTAAAGAATTTACGAACCCAATTCCCTTCGGAATATATGATTATTCGAACACTTCTTTTAATAATGAAGAAAATCTCATCCCTCCATTTTATTAGTATCTTACAAATCCGTCACAATATCTCCATTCATTCCTTCATCATTTAATATTACATCTACATCAAAATCTAAATCCCAATTAAAATCCTCCTCATTAAACTCTTCTTTTCCACCAGCTTTATTTTTATCCTCTTTGTTGTTTTCAGATTTATTATTATTTAGCTCATTTTTGACCTCCTCCGATTGAACCTTATCATTAGATTCATTTTCTTCTTGATTTTTCGAGAGCGGAAGAACCTTTTCTGTCATCTCTTCTGGAACAGCAAAAGTACGTTCAGATAAATGCGAATAGTTTTTTTTACCAATTGGGTGAGCATATGCACAATCAGGTCTTCGACAATTAAATCCAAATTTACACTAAATGAATATTCAAGTTAATACAAAACACATAAAAATTATTAATTATGGTTATTTTAATACAAACCGGAATACTTGAAGTATCTGTCTCCATATCCCATGGATGCATAAAATGACATCCGGGTCTCGCACAATGAGCTCCGTTACGGCATGGGGCCGGAACTTTAATCGTATTGCTATACATAAGTGTTTATTAGATAAAGTATCATATACCGGAAATTAACAAATTTTGAAACAAAATAAACATACTTATAATCAATGTGCAAATATGGACAAATTAAATTCTGACAATTAGGATAAAATCTGCAGGGATCTTGAACAGAAACAACTAGGGAATATAAATATTATTATTTGTTGTATATTTTTAAATTGAACCAAAGTAATTATAGCCAAACTTAATAACATACTTGCTGCTGGAGAGGGATGTGAATAACAACATTTAGGCTGAGTACATTCAGAACCAAATTTGCAAGGTATGTCAACTAAGGTAGATGTATTAAAACCAGATCTAACAGTAGCAGGGCTTGCATGTGCGTATAAACAATTGGGATTTGCACAGTTTTCACTAAATTTACATAAAACTGCAGGAGACGCATTTTGTGCTGAAGAAATTGTTTTATGTTGAGTTACAGCATTCTTTTCGCAGGATGTTTCTGTTGACATAGTATTTAAAGGCGAGGTTACTGAAGAAGTTGCCTGAAATGTTTGTTTCATATTGATAGTATCAGTGGAAATATTGTTTGCTGACTTCTCTTCTTTTTCCCGTTGACTTTGTACGTTTGAACCTTGTTCAACCGTGTTTTTTCCAAGTGAGACACTTGGTCTCTGGGAATTATGACCGAATACACCTGTGCCAAATGCACCACTTTGATAGGAAGAACTTTGTCCGAACATTCCATGACTCATAGGATTCATGGAACTAAGTCCGAATGAACCTAAACCTGAAGAACGAGGACCAAAGGTTCCTTGTCCTGTACCATTTCCAAATGCACCAGGTCTATATATACTACCACGCTGATCATACGAAACAAAATCTTGATTAGCGGGGTGGATATATAAACAAGTTTTAGGAGAATTTGGACAATTAGGTACCATTCTACGAAAATAAAAGAAATTTTTTAATAAAAATAAAGTATGAAAAGAAAAATTATAAAAATAAATTAATACTTACGGACAAATTTCAGTAGGATGATGAAATTTACATGTAGATCCGAGGTCACAGTTAGGCCAATGACGGCATCGAGAAGTTTTTGGAGTAAGCGTTATATTATTATTCGAGTCTGATGGAAACGGCATTGCGTTCGTATTGGCAGCACTGGACCCTTGAAAAAAAGCAGGATTAATATATGCAGTCATTTGACCTCCTTTCTTTCCTAGTCGATCTAAAACACTTATTGGTTGTTGTAATGGCCTAACATTTTGTTGTGAAGGCCGCCTCTCATTCACTACAATTCATGTGATTTATTTAATCTTAATACTAATTCTAATCCTAATTTGAAGTCAATATTTATAATAATTTACCAAATATTTTATAATTACCATATCTACTACGTTCATAATCTGGTGGTGAAGGTACATATAATCCCTGATCATTAGTTCGATGTTCGAATCCTACTCGTGAATATCTATCTTGACTATCAAATAAAAGATCATATTCAAGTTCATTCTCGACTCTGCGAGACTTTATTTTTTGATCCTCTTTATGATAATCCATAGTAGGACTATAAGGACGTTTAGAATGACGTTCAGATCTATCAGATCTATATGACACATTTTCCTCTGAAAGTAATAGTAACTATAAAAATTAGATTTGAAGTGAACTGTTAAATCGAGTTTCCAACAGTATACGCTTCTTACCTGACCTATCTCCAGGATTTCGTGCACTTTTACTTGCGTCCTTTACAGCATTCATGAATAATCGTGAGGTAGCGGTTTGATTATTTCCATTCGTTCTCCTAAAAAATAGAAAGTTTGTGAAACAATATTGAAAAAAACCTGCTACACCAAAAGTTTATTGAAAATACCTTTGTGTAGACTTTCCATTTACACTTCCAACGACTGATCTAACGCGTTGTGATTCCATAGCCTCGTTAGAGTACATTACGTTGTCAAATGCAGCAAAGGGTTAACAGGTGAAATGATCCGCACGATAGTATCGAGGAAAAATAATAAAATTATTTTTGGACGAGGCTATTATATAAAACTATATAACATTTGACTAAAATCAACTGTTCGGATAAAAATCATATGATCAAAGGATTATCAAATTTTGTAATTCATACATACTACGCGTTTAATTTCTAATTTATATAAAAATAAGATAATATATAATAAATAATATTTAATCAATTTATTTTTATTCGTATCATTATTTAGTACAAAAGAAATTCTACACTTGATTAGGTTAATATGAAAAAAGTGTGAGGCTAGTAATTAACAAAAAATTCAGCTCTTTCGATAATCCAAATTTTGTCTCTAGAAAAATATTGCATATATTTTCTTCTTTCCTCATCCCCCTCCATAAACTTATTTTTATCTAATTGTACAAGAGACAAGATAGCAAACCTGCCATCCCTCAATGCACCAGGATTCAAAATCATAGTTTGACCAACATGCGAAAGTCCAAATGGATAATGAGAATGACCATGAATGTTAATTGTGATATAGTGTTGAGAAGATTCACTCGGGGATAAAGGAGATCGTGAAGCAATCATATCGCGTAAAACTTTACTGAAAATTTATAACATCAAAGAATTAAATACGAATAAAAGAGGGTTAATTAATTTGACACTTACCTTCCTGATTCAATCGCATCAGAAGGTTGTAATGGATACATATCCACGTCAGTCGTTCCGGTCTTGGATGGACCAAAGTGTGTCACGAGAATAATATCATCATCCTTAACTTGATCAATTAAGGTTGGTAGTCTTTCAGCAAGAAGAGTTTCGGTATCTTTTGGACAGGCTAACAAATAATAATAATCATAAAAATGAATGTACTTGAAAAAGGTGAAGATTTATGATTCTGTGTTACCTGGCCAAATTACGGTCTCGGGAGAGTCCCTCTTCACACCATTTGTTGATCCTCCAAAACCCACAATGCTTAATCCGGGTGCTACAAGAAGCAAAGAAATATCAGATTTTAGAATTTGCACGATGAAACAAGCAAATCATTTAATGGACCTATTTGAGCGGATTCATTATGTAAATTCTTTGCTATTGGCTTTTCTTCATCATTGGCATCATCTTTTCGATCTTGATGAAAACAAGTATCGGGATCATGATTCCCTATTTTGATAAAAATTGCGTAATTAAGTTTGACGCATGGAAAGATAAAGAGGGTTACAAATAGATAATACCAGGTATGTAATACAATGGCCTGCCAAAATTCTGAAGAGCAGAAATCACCTCGCGAAATTCTTGCACATCCTACAAATCAGTAACGGTTAATATTATATTAGCGATAAGGAATCAAAGTGAAACTAATAAAAAAACCTTTTCCATAGTTGGTGTTAAATAATCCGCATTTACAAGATCACCAGATGCGATAATATAATCAATTCTTTAATAAATGTTTTGTTAATATGTTATATATCACATAGTTTATGGCACTAAGAAAAAAAACGCTACGTAACTCTTTCAATCGATCCTTTTGAACCAACCAATTTTGAAGTTTTATGATGTTATCTAAACGATAATGAATATCGCTTACAAGTAGAAACGTACGACACATTTTATTCAAATGATCAATTCACAAAAAAAGTATTTTCACTTGATTAAAAAAAAAAAATGGTTCGATTTTCTGGGTCGATCTTATACTAAAACTTTTAGATATGTCGTTTTCACCATAATTTATTGGTCTTTTGTCATAAGCTTGTTCCCAATTATTTTAACAGCCCATAATATACTCGTCATCGTGATATCAATAACAGATTAGATGTTCAGATAAATGTGTGATTAATTTTTATATAAATGCAAAATTTTACCCTTCTCTCGCCTTTTTCTCAGTGCCGTAAGTTTTTTTTATTTTTTATTTTTTTACTGCACACTTGTACGAATTGAATAAAAGAATTTAAAATGACTGTCAAAGTCGGTATCAACGGGTAATCATCATCATCTTATTAATTAATAGTAACATGTATTTGAGTTTGAATTTTTTTATCAAAGAAAAATCAAAAATTTTTTTTTTAAAAAAAAAAGTTTCGGTCGTATTGGACGTCTCGTCCTCCGTGCTTCTTTGCTTATCCCCGAAATCGAGGTTGTGGCTTTAAATGATCCTTTCTTGAACCCTGATTATATGGTAAGACTATTCAAAGAAATATTAACATTTAGGGATTTTATAAAAATATTACCCAAGTTAATATTCAATCCTTCATTTAGGTTTACCTTTTCAAATATGATTCGACTCACGGCCGATTCAAAGGTCAAGTTGAAGAAAAACAGGGGAAATTCATACTTAACGGTCGAGAAATTACCGTCTTTGCGGAAAAAAATCCTGCTGATATTAAATGGGGTGAGGTTGGTGCTGATTACATAGTCGAATCAACCGGTGTATTCACGACTGTTGAAAAGGCCTCAGCTCACTTGAAAGGTATAGATTAATGAAAACTATTATTACGCGATTTTATTCATTATTAAAAAAAATTTTCTTCATTTGATAGGGGTATGTTTATTTCTTTTGTTTTTGATTGAATTCGCAGCTTGTATTAAATCGAACTTCCTTAAATTATTTGTTTTCGATTTCATTACCAGGGAGCCAAAAAGGTTAGCTTTAGTTATAATTCCGGTTTTAAGTTTCACAATAATACATGCTATAACTAAATATTTCATCAAAATAGGTCATTATCTCTGCGCCCAGTGCTAACGCTCCGATGTTTGTGTGTGGCGTCAATTTGGATGCTTACAAACCCGAATACAAAGTGATCTCTAATGCTTCTTGTACTACAAATTGCCTAGCACCGCTAGCAAAAGTAATCCATGATAAATTTGGTATTCTTGAAGGTTTGATGACCACAGTTCATGCCACTACAGCCACTCAAAAGACCGTTGATGCTCCATCTGGCAAGGTGCTTAACGTTAAATTTATTATCATTGTGTATTCTTAAATATTAAATTCTCATGTTCCTCTCTATTTTAGGATTGGAGAGGTGGAAGAGGTGCAGGTGTGTAAATTCAAAAGATCATTTTTATTTTTTGTTATCGTAGATTAATTGTACTTTATTGATTTTTATAGCCCAAAACATCATTCCTAGTTCTACTGGCGCAGCGAAAGCCGTTGGGAAAGTGAGTAACTACTTTTATAATTTACACTACCATGTAGATATAATTTTTTTAACCGGGCATATCTCTTGAAATAGGTTATTCCATCTTTGGATAAAAAACTCACTGGTATGGCTTTCCGAATTCCCACAGCCGATGTCTCGGTTGTTGATTTAACAGTTCGTTTGTCGAAAGAGACCACCTATGATGAAATCAAATCAGTTATCAAGAAAGCTTCTGAAAACGAGTTGAAAGGAATCCTTGCTTATACTGAAGATGATGTAAATATTAATAAAATTTACAGAATCATATTATTTTTATTGTTTAAATAATAATTTTTATATTCGTTATAGGTCGTATCCGCAGATTTCATTGGTGACACTCATTCCAGTACTTTTGATGCCAAAGCCGGTTAGTAAATTTAATTGGTCCTATTCAAGTATCTTATCATATTATTAATTATTCTTTCGTCATTCATCATTTAGGTATCCAATTAAGCCCCACATTCGTCAAACTTATAGCGTGGTACGATAACGAATGTGAGTATTGGTTCAAACTCCGTATGTTTTTATAATACGAACAATCATTAATTCTCATTATCTTTTATTTATCACAAAAAAGTTGGTTATTCTCTTCGTGTTGTCGATTTGATTGCTCATATTGCTAAGAAAGATGCTTGTTAAGTATATCGCGTATAAATTATCGTTTATTATAGCATGATATTTGAAATGTTAAATATTTTAAGTTTCAATAAGTTATTGTTCACCGAGTATCATAAAGTTTATTACATTCTCGACTGTTTATTAAAATATTATATATTACTGTATGGAAAAAAAATTAAAATGTTAAATAGAAAATTATCATTAAATAAATTGATGATCTTGATTACCATATATTTAAATTATTTTTTTTATGTGAATTCACAATTATATAGTAGTCTATTTAATAATGGCATAAGTTACAGGTTAACTTTTGCTATAAATTAATTATTTTTTTTTTTCTCTATTTAAATATTTAATTTAAAGGTTAATTTATTTTTACTTGATTAATTAAATTATTATACATTTGTTTAATAATCAAGTAAGCATTATACCGTATATATAATAAATTGAATAAGCATTCATAACTTCACATCATCTGGATCATAATATAAAAATATTTTTAGATTATTTATAGGTTGTTTATTACTACAAAGTATTTTCTTTCAAATCTGTCTGTATAGTTGGATTTGGCCAACCTTCTTATGTAATGTCATGCTATGGTTCAAGGTGTCATCAACCTAATCACCAATAATAATGCTGAATATAGAACTAATTATTCTTTAGGCAGCTATATGAGAATTATCATAGATGTCCTTTTGTATACATTGCTTTCCTGAATGGTATTTATCGCGTCAGGTTTCTTGAAATTTTTAGAATTTATACTCGGACCCTGGATTGTAATCGAACTTGTGATGATCCAAAATTTAGTAGAAATATATTTGTTAAAATTTATTTAAATCTTTAATTTCATTTATTAAATCACTCAAAAAAAAAACTAAAATTACTATATAAAAAGAAATCAATAATATAATTAATAAAACATGAAAATTTAACAAACAAATATCCTATATTAACAAAAAAGAAAAAAAGATCTATGAACAACATTTAATTCTAAACTATGCTCTTTTAACTGTTGTTAATTTTTGACCCAATCAATTCTCCTTGTTGCAAATATAATAATCTTTGTGTCTCTGAATAAAGACGTGTTTAATGTCATTTATTAGTTATCATTGAATATCAAGAGGTTTGGAGTATTAGATGGAATCTTTTCAAGGATATTCTTTGTGGATAATCTAATGATTTTATCCTTAAGCTGTTTTGGAGTCAATGAAGTACTAAAGAATTCAGATGAACTTTCTGGTTCAAGTGAAAGGAAGTAAGCTATTAAACCAGCAACATGAGGTGAAGCCATTGAAGTTCCAGAAATGATATTGGTAGCAGTTTTTGATCCTTTCCATGTTGAAAGGATATCTTTACCAGGTCCGAATACGTCAACACATGGACCATGATTTGAAAACCAAGCACGTTCATCTTCGATGGTAGAGGCACCAACAGTAATTGCATTTTCAGCAGCTGCGGGCGAGTAATCACATGCATCACGATTATCATTTCCGGCAGCAACGGCAAAGTTAAGACCAACATCAACAGCCTATTGAATTCATTAAAATTATTAATATGAAGAAGAGTATAGTAACAAATTTACTTTACTTATTGGATAATTTAAACAATTACCCCATTAACAGCAGAGTCCAAAGCTTGACTCTTACCACCTCCCAAACTCATATTGGCACCTGAACCTTTGAATGGTTTACCTTCCTTGCGAGCTTTGTCTTTTGCTTCAATATGGGATACGGCAGCATATTCAACACCTTTAATAACATCAGACATGGTACCAGAACCATTTGAACGCAAGACCTTAACAGCGACGACTTTAGCATGTTTAGAGACACCATAACGATATCCAGCGATTGTACCAGCGACATGTGTTCCTATTATTATTTAAAGGGAAAATACTTTTCATGAATAATCATACTATTAACAAATATTTTAATCAATAAAAGTATTTATTTATACATACCGTGCCCGTTTCCGTCAAGATCTTCGTCGTTTTGAGGAATAGTTTTACCCCATATTGCACGACCTTGGAAATCGACATGACCGACGTTTATACCAGTATCGATAACATAGATGGTAACTCCCTCTCCGGCTTTACTATCATATAAGTATTTATTGAAATTTCCAAAATTCAAAGATTCACGATGAGCGACACGAGCCAAACCCCAGGGGGCATTTGTTTGAGTTAAAATGTTAGTGGCATAAACGACTTGATCTTTTTCAACATAAGCGACCTATAATAAAACAAAAAGCATGTTTTGTTATTGCTTAGCCCAAAAATTAGAGATTTTTTTTCTCGCTCTTTTTTAGGAATATTTACCTCGTCACTGCGTCTGATCCTATCCAAAACTTCGTTAGTGAATCTACCCGAATAACCTTGGAAGTTATCAAATTTAAATGTATGTTTGATACCAGAAACTAAATCTCCTAAAATGCTTCTCTTTGATAAGCTTCTTTTTTCCTCAGAAACAAAGTTATGAACACATTCATGATGATATTCAATTTTTGCCTTTTCAAGTTGTTTTTTCAAGACAACAATATAAGAGTCAGGAATCACTTGAGCAGAATCCGAAGAATATAAGGGAGCAACATTACTCTCTGTTTGAGAACTATAATAAGGTGCAGCTGAGGTGGAAAGGAACAAGGCTGCAACAAGGAGAAATTTTTGGGTCAGCATTATTAAATATTTATATGAAAACGGGTATCGTAGATAAAATATTATACAAAACGGAAAAAATATATTTCAGAAAAACAGGTGAATAAAGGATCTATATACAAAAAAAAAACAATTTGAAAGAAAATTTATGAGTGTGAGCAG